TAAGCTATTCCTGCCTACTGCGTGTCATGCCGCTCCCTCCTCTTCCAAAGGTATGTGCCTCATGGTGCACCTATTGTAAATACTGCCACAGCTGGAGCAGCAAAGAGACTGACCGTAGTTGGGTTCTTAGTTCTGTTTGGGTAATGCTATAGGACGGGTCACCAACATTTTGCAGTGAGGTATGCTTTAATGGAGCTTCCAAGCACAGGCTGCTTCCAACCCAGCCCACCTGCAGTCACCATTGCCTGCCACAGTGCTGCCATTTCCCCCTGCTGCCTGGCTGTCACACCGGAGAACCCCACTGCATATAGGAGAATTTTTTTATTTTGGTAAGGAAATTTTAAGTTAGGGGAAGGAATGCACAGGGCTACAAGATAAAGAATAGCAAGGGCCTGGGGTTTTCAGTGGTTTTAAGCATTCACTATTGCTGAAGCTCAGAAGCTTTGCAAATAAGCTGCTTACATACTTGGTGAAATACAGCAAAAGCTTTGTTATCCAGCACCCATGGGAAGTGGGGGGTGCCAGATGACCAAATATGCCAGTTATCTGAGAGGCCCGAACAGGCATCCTTACCTTTTTGGGCCACCGCCCCTCCCTGGCATCAGTGTGCCAGGGGACAGAGAGAGGCGCCTGTGCAGGCTATGCCATGCCCTGGGCCGTGAGGGCTTGGCCGCAAAGGCTGCTTTGCCCCAGGCCGTGGGGGCTCGGTGAAACTGGAAGCGTCACAGTGGGCACTTCCAGTTTCGCTTTTGCCACATCAACCAGCATACCGGTTAATGGCACGTGCCGGTTTGCAAGATGCCGGATAACACGGCTTTTGCTGTATATCCTTTACTCTAGATTCAATAACCTCATTAACTTTAAGCCTCCTAAATTCAGTATAGATAAACCTTCTTCAAACTCTTTAAAACGTAAAAACGATGCACTTACATTATATGGCAGGGTTCATTTCTGTCCTTCAAACAGTGTCCTATTTCCCACTTCTTTTTTGTGGGAAATGTAGTTTTTATAAACTTTGATCCAGCATGAGTATTTTTTATTCCACACCATGGGGCATCTAGTTAAATCAAAGGTATTAAAAAGCAATGAAATCATTTGGTAATAGCATGTAATTGTTAACTCTCCTGTTAATTAATACAGTTCCTCCTTCCATACGAAGGCTTCTGAGGGCTTCAGTCTAAGTGCACTCCCCTCTCCACGCCCCTTCCTCTTTCCACAACAGTATGATTAAAAGACAGATATTTCTTGTTATGAATGTTCTAATTAAACTTATTCTACCTTCTCATCCCATCTTATATTTTCTACAATTGTAATATATCAAAAAAATCATCCACTCTACCTAGCAGTAATGTAATGGAAAAAGTAAGAGAATTGCTATGATGAGGGCTGCTAGTAAATACTACACTATATATGGCCCAAGGAGGCGTATGTACACATTATAAGAATCCCTGACTAAATTCCCATGTTTCATTTCAAATCTTGGTGGGGGGAAGAGGGAAATGGGGAATCAAATTTACTGTCAACTGAGTCCTATGAGAATCCATATTTAATGGTTGTTTAGTAGCGGTTAAAGTAAATGTGAGCAGACAGAACATCTACTAGAGGACCAATTTAAAATCACTGTTGATTATTCCAGGAGGTATTTTTCAGGCCTTTTTCACATTGTTTTACTTAATTACATGCAATTTCTTGTTATGTATCATAGTGTGGTGCTATTATTGCCAAATGGGAGGGACTTAATCAAAATCTTTAGCATGTCACACATTTGGTATATGTAAACAGGGCCACACTTTTTAAAGGTACCTGGGCAGGTGCAAGGCATCCAGGTGTCAGCCATTATTATCTCGTGCACATTTACTCATTCACCAAGCTCGGGATTTGATAAGGTAGCCCATGCTTCTTCTAGCAGAAGACAGCTGGAGCCTCTTATTGAGCACTGAGTCAGGCGGAAGGCTTTTTGGCCAAGAGAATAATTTCATATTCCTGGCCCTTGTTGCCATGGCACATCTGTGTCTCAAATCTGTTCTCTATACCTACTACAAAACAAGAAAACCCTAATATCTAATAGTTTTCAAATTGTGATCTAGTATTAAAGCAAGATGCAGTACAATCCATCTGGACAGCAACTTACCTGTCTCGATCATTAATCTTTCACTAGGAATTGATTTCAGCGTTTCTAAGTTGGCTTCTGTT